CCCAGTGGCGCTCAAGGCTCTGCTGCACTCAGGGATCACTCCTGCCCAAGCTCGGTAGGGACCATGTGGGATGCCAAGGATCAAACCCAGGTCAGCCGTGTGCAAGTCAGGTGCCAACACTGGTTTTTTGTACCAGCCTGATAGCACCCAGGTCCGCCAGGAGCCGCTGTGACCACCACACCCTCCCCATGAAGCTAACTCCCCTCCCTTCCCGGCGGATACTAAAGTTCACTAATCTTGAGGGACCCTCCCCCCTCAAGAATACAGCAAGGTTTCTAGAAAGAGGTGTGGAAAAACCCCTTCTAAGACGCTGAGTGCAACGCTTGAACAAGAAAACCTTTCAAGTGTGATTTATGGTAACCGGACCAGCGCTTTGGGACACCAAGGAAAGCAAAGACAGGAACGTGTCAGTGCAATCGCAAATAGCACGTCAGGGTGGAACTCTGGGGAGTCTTGTTTGTTAGGTTTATGGTTATTAGCTTTGTCGCCTCTGGGGGAAATAATAGACTATTTAAATGTCAGGCTCACATATCAAAATGTCTCTCTCTCTCTCTCCTCTCTCTCTCTCTCTCTCCCCCCTCCCTCACCCTTATCCCTGATAAACTTTTACTTAAGATCCACATTAAAAAGGAAGGGATCCCATACTGAGTTTTGACTTCACATAACAGAGGACGTTCATTGCTGATTCTGTCCTGCGGGGTGAGAAAAGTCCCTGGGCCAGTTCTCTGACCACCGCAGTTGGATTTGGGCCACCTCCAGGAACCCAAAGCTGACTTTGACTTTCAGGATGGCACGGGGGGCGCCGACCACCCCGTTCCTCCTTCTGCTGGAGGCCAGGCTGGAACTTGATGGTGAATATATGCCCTCTCCTGAGACCCCTGCTCCCTGCCCTTTGTTCGCCTCCCCTCGGCCTCTGGGACGCCTGCCTCAAACACAAACCAGCTGCTGAAAAATCACATGGGGACAAAAATCAAAGACCGAAAAAAATACCACTTATGAGTTCTTCTCATCGTAACTAGGTTTAAACTCCTTTAGGAGTCTGGAATGCCCTCACACTGGATTAGAGTCAAAAGGCCTCAAGGTTTCATGGAGCAAGAAATGGTCTCTGCAGAGACAAAGGTCAGCGAGTCACACTCAAACCCACCAGCCTGTATGTGCCTGCTCCTTGCAGCATGCGGCTTCAAAGACGCAGGACGCAGGAAAAGAGGAGAGTTTTGAGAGCAACAATCACTATTCTGGAAAAAAAAGATGAGGAAAACTGCCTGATCATCAACACACACAGTAAAAGAGATTCAGTCCCGTCAGGACAAAAACAAATGTTTCCGAAGCACGTGTCCACCATCACCCAGGGTAGAGATTTCAAAAGGAATTTCTAACGCGTTCAGGGAGCCAAGCGGCCAGGAGAGCCACCAACTCACGTGACTGAACATCCAGGGGCTGAGCACACACTATGCAAGCAAAGTCCTCTCAGGAGCCCAGGCAGAGCCAGGAGTAGCCAGCCGGGCACTAGGTGGGCACAGCCCCCCACAATGCCACCACCCCCAAAGCCCCAAAGCAGATGCCTCCAGAGAGGTGCTCCAGCAGGAAGAGCATCTCAACCAAGCATCCGGTTCCTCAAAGCCCTTAGCTGGCAACTTCTAGTCCAGCCTCAAGCTGCACATCCTCTGGGGGAGCCCCTCCAAACAATCACTCCCTCGCGGGGGGTGGGGGGTCCTGACACCGCTCTGGAAGCCTCCACTCACTGCAGAAATATACAGATGCAAGTACATGGTTTTATTTAATTTGGTTTGGGGGGCCATGCCCGGTGATACTCAGGGATTACTGCTACTCTGGAAACCATATGGGAAGCCGGGGACTGAACTCAGGCTGGCCACACGCAAGGCAGACATCCTTTGTACTATCACTATCACTCCAGACCCACAGTATGTGTTGTTGTTGTTTTTTTTGTTTGTTTGTTTTAAATAAAAAAAGAAGCACGTGTGCATTTTAGGAGGAAAAAGCTTTTTTTCTCTTTGAGTCACGCCCAGTGATGCACAGGGATTACCCCTGGCTCTGCACTCAGGAATCACACCTGGCCATGCTCAGGGGATCATATGGGATACTGGGAATCGAACCCAGGTCGGCTGCGTGCAAGGCAAACACTCTGCCTGCTGTGCTATTGCTCCAGCCCTGGAAAAAGTTTTTTTTTTTTTTTTTGGAAGGAAAAGAAAACATTTTCTGACTGACTGAATCCCACAGTAACCATAAAATTGTCTGGAATATTCCAAGCAACTGATGTGACTTGGCTTGTGGTCCTAGCATACGGACACGAACCCTGTGTCGGGAAAGAATATAGTGGCCTCGATCAGATGCTTCGGAAACCTCTTGCCAGGCTCTGTGCCCCCTGCTGCAGGCCCACTATCCTCGAGTCCCAGGGCCAGCGGGATCTCTTCCTGTGTACCGCCAGCACCCCATGTGCTGAGTCCTCCTTGCAGTGCCTGCCACAGGGTTCATTACCCTTTCCTGGCCAGTCAGGGCCAGGACCAGCCAAGGCTAATGGCCAGAACCATCCTTTATGTCGCACCACAACCAAGCTTCCAGCCTTCCTCCCCCCTTGGTCCAGCCCACTCAGTCCAAATTTAGCTCACTGGGCCCTGCCTCTGAGTGACAGGCGTGACTGCTGCAGCCTCCGTGCAGAATTCTGATAAAACGATCATCACCGTGGCCAAGAAAGAGAACTCTGGCGCAGCAAAGGGAAAACAGACCCTCTCTCCGCCCCTCCTTCTCAGGGTTCTGAGCCTCCATCCAAACCCCATTCATCTCTCTTGTCTCACATCTGCCAGTGGTCAGTTATGTGGGACTCAGTCCCCCACGGTGACCAGCCCACCTGAGGGCCCGGGGTCCTCAGATGGGAAGGATACGGTCAACCTTTTGTCATGAACAGTCACTTGGAGAGTCACAAAAAAAAATCTAGCTGGTCAGAGACACTGTTTCCTGGATACCCTACTTAGAGCAGAAACTTGAGGATCACCAAGACTCCAAACCAAATGAGGCAGGCTGATCATGGGTGAAAAGTCTATTTTTTTTCCTGTTTTATTTGGGGTGTTGAGGGGAATGGTGGGAGAGTACTCCAGGCAGTGCTTGGGGGTCCAGGCCGAATCCTAGTCTGCTGATGGTGGAGGGGTGGGAGGGTACAAAGGCCACGTCAGGAATTAAACTACTATATAGAAATTTATCTCAAAAGGCATCTGTAAAAGTACTGGAAGTGCCCGGACTTTTTTTTTTTTAAACAAACATCAATACCCACCAACTATGTCTTGTTCCCACCCACCTTCCTTTCATCAAACCTAGTTAGCTCTTCAACTGGACTTTCTTTTCATTCCACACAAGCCATACCTACCTAACTCAGGAGAAGAGGAAGTCTAGTTTGAAGAACTTCTACTTAAACAAATGCTAACCGAGAACTCACTGCACAGTCTGATTGTGAAAAATTAATAAAACATTTACCTGTGGCAATGCAGCTCATTAAAGAGTGACATACCTTTTTCTGAGTTTCCATGGAATTAGTTAAGGCCTACATATGTCAATTTCCCTTTCACACTTTATATAAACACTGTGGTTTACAAAGTTTTTCATGATGATTTGTTACAGGCATTCAATATCCCAACACCAATCCCACCACCCTTACCCCTTCCCTCCAGAAAGAGCTAACTTGGATGCGGTGTTGGAACTATGTGCACAGGAAACCCTCATTCACAGGATGATAATACCCAGAGCCTCAATCAGTAAAAAAAAAAAAAAAAAAGTTAAAAAATAAAATCAAACTTAAAACATTTTCCCCCCTAATTTTCATCAACTCATCAGGAAGAATCGTCTCAAAGGAAAGTCACTTCTCCAAGTCAAAAGACACTCTTAAAGTGGCCGAGATTAGTACCAGGAGTTTTGCTCCATGGCTTGGAGGCCAGCCACACATTCTAGGGGAAAAGGGAGCTCAGACAGAGAAAGGAGCACCAAATAAAGGGTGTTGGGAGGATCCTCCCAGGATGGGAGATGCATGCTGAAAGTAGACTATAGACTGAACATGATTGCCACTCAATGCCTCTTTTGGAAACCACAACACCCAAAAGGAGAGAGAAAACAAAAGGGAATGCCCTGTCACAGAGGCAGGGTGGGGCGGGGGGGTTGGGGGAGTGGGAGGGATACTGGGACCCATGGTGGTAGAAAATGGCACTGGTGGAGGGATGGGTGTTTGATCATTGTATAATTGAAACCCAAGCACAAAAATTTGCAAATCTACAACTGTACCTCATGGTGTTTCACTAACAAAAATTTTTGAAAAAAATGTAAATGATGGAGAATGGGCACTGGTGAAGGGATGGGTACTGGATCATTGTATAACTGAAACCCAAGCACAAAAATCTGTAAGTCTACAAATGTACCTCATGGTGTTTCACTAATAAAAATTTCAAAAAAAGTCACTCTAAAGTTTTAGGTCTCAATAAAACGCGACTATAAATGCCTGCTAAACAGACTGGGCAACTGGAAAAGCAAAGGTGCCCCTGAACTGGTGTGGGAACGGTGACAGCCGGGAAGTCTAGTTTTCCTTAGAAAACTCCCACCCCTTCTCCTCCCCAGCAGTGCCTCCCTCTGCAGCCCCTGCTCTCAGTCAGTGCTTATCAAAGGTGGGCAGAGACTATGGGCTGTGGAGATGGAGAAGAAGACGCCTCATCTCTGTAACAATCATGAGATGGCATTTGCCTAGCAGCCTTTCTGCTATGCCCCCCCCCCACCCCCAACAAGGTTCTTAGAAACGTTGGCGTTTAACTTCGGTGCACAACAGAGAAACTCCAATCTGGGAAGCAGAGGTACAGGGAGTGAGGGAGCCAAGGCCCCCTCTTGGCTGAGGCCTCGGGGGAGAACTGCCGAGTCGGTGGCACCCAGGAGCTGCGGTCAGCTGGGCAAACGCAGCCCGAGGGCCTCTCCCCAAAGTGACCCTAGGGGACGGTGGCAGGGGCAGTTACCTTTCTTCGCCTTCTTCTGCAATTTCAGGGTATCCGACGACTTCTTTTTTATCTCCTGGCGCGCTTTCTTGTACTCTAGGAGGAAGCAGAAAATGGGATGGTGTTAGCAGGTCGCTCCACAGACCTGAGTCCAGGAGCTGCCCAGCCGCTCCTCTCGGACCCCAGGAACCCTGCTGTGCCCCGGGGTATTCTCTTGGCAAACCACCGAGGAAGCCTCAGGCCAGAGAGCCGTAGCAGAGGACCCCCATGCACTGCTGCGGTCTTTCCCGGAGGATGCGCCCGTGCCCAGCTCGGAGGCCAGCTGAGCTGTCGACTGGGACTACTAGAATGAAGAGGCGTAGTCTCGAGCACTCCAAGCCAGGGATTCGGGAATGCTTTCCAAATCCTCTCTTCTCAAGCCCCCACTCCCCACCTTGCCAAGCTCAACCAAGAAGCCAGGTGGCACAAAGCCGGCTTAGATGGTGCAACCCAGAAACCAGGGAATTTGGAAGAGGAGAACGATTTCGTGGCCACACCAGGGTGGGGCTGCGGGCGGAAGGTTCTCCCGCTTCATCTGGCTGTTCATGGGGGCTGGAGCGCTAGCACAGTGGGGAGGGCATAAGCCCCGAGCCCCAATAGCTGAGACTCAAAGAAACAAAGAACAAAGAACAACCCAAAGGTCTCAAGAATGCTGCATTAGGGGCTGGAGTGATAGTATGGCAGGTAAGGCATTTGCCTTGCGCGCGGTCAACCCCGGGTTCGATTCCCAGCATCCCATATGGTCTCCTGAGCACCGCCAGGAATAATTTCTGAGTGCATGAGCCAGGAATAACCCCCTGTGCCTCACCGGGTGTGACCCAAAAAGCAAACAAAACAAAACAAAACAAAACAGTTTGCTGTTCATGGCCAGGCGAAACTCTGGACTCCTTGGAAGGAACCACAGCAATGGGCTCACGATGCCTGAGACCACATCCCCACTCCCCTCCCACGCCCCACCCCCAGCATCCAGCCAGGCACTGCCCACATGCGGCCTTGGGCAGCAGCAGCAGCAGCCCCGGCCACACCTCCCCCGGCTGGAACTTCACATCTGGCTCCAGATGAGCCTCTCTTGTGCGTCTGCTTTGCTGGGCTGTGCAGCTATGGCCTTTCTGAAAAGTGGGAGGCCTGAGATCACCCTGCATGGGGCAGGTTTTTCCTACCTATACCCCCTTCTGCAGGGAGGCACACGGGGGCCGCACAGATTGCCCTGTGAACGCACTCATCAGGGTCCAGGTCACTCTCATCCGCTCACACACTCACCTGCCTCGTTCTACTCTGAGTCTTGCTTAGTGTTAAGAGCCGGAGTGCGGCTGGCGTGTGCTCCCTGCTGTGCCAGCTCACGTGCAGCTATGCCCGACGAAGCCCCCCCTCACCCTGGGAGGAGGCTCCAGGGCTCTCCCTGCACGGCTCCTGGAAGTCCCTTCCTGCCTACTCTTGTCTCCAGCTCTGCCCACAGCCCTTCCTGCAGGCTGCAGCCGACCCTGTGGCTGCCACCTGACCTCCTGCCCCGGGAGAGAGCATGGCGCCTCTCCAAAGCCCTCAGACCCGGCGCAACGTGAGAGCCACAACTCGAGTCCCGTCCCTTCTGTGTGGGACACAAGGTGGACTTGGTCTTGGGGGCAGCAGGTCCGAGTCCATGCCAGGAGGCCATCAGGCTCTCGGTGACTGACCTGGGTTTCAGGCCCCCAATTCAGCCCTAGCACAGGACCCCTGTGACCCTCCTTTTCCTCCAATACCCACACACCCACACACCCAGTCCCCTCCCCATACCCACACACACGGTCTCGCTCCAACGTCCCACCTTTTGCGTGGTCTTTATCCAGCTGGTTGGCCACTTTCTTCCATTCTTCCATCTGTTCTTGAAGTGGGTTTATCAGGCAATCGATTAAAGCACTGGAATGAAAGAGAAAGCAAAGGAGAAATGAGAGAGAGCCTGTCGTGAGGACCGCCGGAAGCCAGTAGAGTGGGGCTCCCATGAGGCCCCAACAGCAGCGTGCCCAGCCGGGACCTCGGCGGATGGCACCGGGAGTGCAGGGAAGGCGGAGTCCCGGGGCAGGGCAGCCCGGAGGTGGACGAGGCTCTGGCGCGCTCGGGTGAAGTAACCAAAGACAGGCTGTCAGGACTGTGCTGTTTCGGGCACCACATCCAACAATGCTGGGGAAGGGGTGCTAGGAGAGAGCCCAGGCCTGTAGGCCAAGCAGGCGCACTAACTTAGCGATCTTTTTATCCTTCTTTGGCTTTTTGGGTCACACCCGGTGATGCACAGGGGTTACTTCTGGCTTTGCACTCAGGAATTACTCCTGACGGTGCTCAGGGCACCATATGGGAAGCTGAGAATAGAACCCGGATCAGCCACATGCAAGGCAAACGTCCTCCCCGCTGTACTATCACTCCAGCCCCTAACCCAGCATTCCTGAGACCTTTGGGTTGTTGCTGTTTGTTTGAGTCACAGCTAGTGGGCCTCGGGGCTTACTCCCAGCTCTGCACTCAGGGATGTTTTCAGGAAAGCTCAGGGCACCACATGGGGTGATGCCAATTGAAAGGAAGCACCCTACCCACGGTACTAGCGATTCCAGTGTCTTTTTATTTTTTTCCTTTTTGGGCCACACCCAGCAATGCTCAGGGGTTACTCCTGGCTCTGCACTCAGAAATTACTCCTGGTGGTACTCGGGGGACCATATGGGATGCTGGGAATCGAACCCGGGTCGGCCGCGTGCAAGGCAAACGCCCTACCCGCTGTGCTATTGCTCCAGCTCACCAGCATCTCTTGAACCTTTCTGCACCTGCAGACAAGCACCTGGCCTGCGTGGCAAGGTTGGAGCCAAAGCAGTAGGACCAGCAGTTTTTGGCATCCCTACACCTGTGGGACAGCACCAGAGGACCCCCACTACGCTGGCCCACAGAGCCATCGCCCCGAGCTCCAGGTGGCAGGGGCTTAAAGGCTACATGGAAACCAGTACCCATATGGGGGCGGGTACTTACTCCACCAGGACGAAACGGGGACTCACCTGGAGAACTGCCTCAGCTTGGCCTCTATGCTCCGGTGCCTCATGCACATCCTTGTCAGCGCAGAGCCGATCTCCCGGGTGCCGCCTGAAAGGCAAGAGAGGACACAGTGAGGAGCAGGGCACCCACCGGACGCAGCGAGCCCTGAGAAGGAGAATGGAAGGATCTAAGCAACCACAGCCAGAGAGACAGTACAGCAGGGATGGCGTCTGCCTCGCACAGGGTTGATGGGAGCTCGATCCTTGGCACCCTCAACACAGCTGGAGGTGATCTCTGAGTGCAGAGCTAGGGAGTAAGCCCTAAGCACCAGTGGATGTGGCCCCTTAAAAAAAAAAACCCACACAAACAAAAACCAAAAAAAGCTCAATTTTACCATGTTTTAAAACCCAAGCCACTGCCTGGAGATACCTAAACACACACACACACACACACACACACACACACACACACACACACACACACAGAGAGAGAGAGAGATATGATGGAACTTCATATATTCACTAAATCTTCGAAGTTACCTTGGCTAGGTATGATAACTCTTTGTGATTTCTTTTCAATGCTATAGAGACAAAGACACTGATTTTACAGCATGCTGCTAGATTCTGCCCAGGAATCTGAAATACAATGCCCAAGAAAGAAAAGCAAAGAGTATCTCATACATTCTCTCTCCCTCTTATACAATAATCCTCTTTGCATTATTTAGATCAGCTGCAAAGTTCTCTCCAGCGAATCGCTGCAAAGCACACAGTCTAGAACACAAGGCATTCTGGAACTAGCCGAGACAAAAGCCAAATGAAATAAGGAAATCTTTCTCATGACTTGGGTAACAGTGAAAGAGATCTTCAAACTCAGCAAATGTTCCCGTGAGTTCCAATTCAGTCTGATCTTTCCCCGAAATTCCTGTCATGCTTCTCCTTCTGTGGCACACCCTTCTCGAAGATTATTTCTGAAGTCCCCTTCCTTCCCCCTGGTGGAAACAACACTTGAGTCAGCACGAACTCTGGCATGGGGGAGGGAGGAGCCAACTGCAACCACAGCTGGTAATTCTGCCCTGAGCTTGAGAAAACACAGCGCAAATGCAATGAAAACAGGGGGCCGGTCAAAGAAAGCGCTATATTTAACACACGCGCCTTCACGGGAAAGCCACAGGAACGTGTGGCAGGTTGAACCCAGTCAAACTAATAGGAAAAATGGTACCCACCCTTATCAGCCCTGGTGACATGACAGTCCCTCTGCTTTCCCTCCTGAAATGCCAAGAGATGCTGTGTCATTCCACATATTCCTCAATTTGTTCTATAAAACAGATTCTGAGTCTTCCCAAAGAAAGCGGTCATTTCTGGGGCCGGAGCTGTGGTATAGTGGGTAGGGCATTTGCCCGTCATGAGGCCAGCTCACGTCCGATCACCGGTCAGTATCCCCTATAGCCCACCAGGAGTCATCTCCGAGTGCAGAACCAAGAGTAAGTCATGAGCACTGCCAGGTGGCAGAGACCCTGCCCCCACCCTCCCAAATCAGTTTTTTTTCTACATTTAAATTCCTAAATTATATTTTACATTTTATTCCTTATTAACATTAACACAGAAAGCATATCTCATATGGAAGTATATTTATTTAAGAGACTCGAATGTGCAGCAATTCTTTTCTGGCTATGAAGTGACGCAAGCTCAGAGCAATTCCCCTGATCCTTTTAAACTGGGGCTCTCAACTTGACACTTTCAGCTGAGGGTCCGGGTGATTCTGTCCTGCAGCCATCCACTAAAGTTCAGGAGCAAAGGCAGAGAGATAGTGCAGTGGCAGGGCGCTAGCCTTGCACGAGGCCAACCCGGATCAGACCTCCGGCACCTCATATAGTCCCTGAGCAGTGCCAGGAGTAATTTCTGAGAGCAGGAATAACCCCTGATCGTCTCCAGGTGTGGCCCCCAAACCTGAAATAAATCAATTAAATAAAATTCGGTGGCAGCCCCCCGATTTCCAACATCCCAAATGTCTACAGGAAATCTTCCCCAGTTGAGAAGCACAGCTGTTTAAAATAAAATTTAAAAGCTGAGTAAGCACTCGAGGTCAGCTGAGGCTGACTCTGTCAACAGCCAAAAGTCTTGGTGAAAATCTGCCCTTTCGCACCACCTGGCCTCAGGGGCCAGCACCACTCGCGCAGCTCCCCATGCCAGCCAGCAGAGGGCGCTGTGCTCCCGCGCGCGCGAGCGGGGGCCCTTCTGGGCCCTCTTCGGGGTCTCGTTAGCTTTTATTGCTTGGAGGCGCGCAGGAACACTTGATCTCCAGGGAAATATCTCCTTTTTCTGGGCGTTCATTTGATTAAAAGTTAATAACCTGGCCACACAAGGAAACTGGCACACGCACTCACTGCTGGGAGGGGTGTAAACGCTTAAGTTTCCGGAGAAAGTGAGGCAGCCTCTCAAAAAGAGAAAAGCAAACAAACAAAACCCCTTTAAGCCACGGACCCACTCTGACCCCGCCAATGCGGCTCCCAGAAATTTAACCTGAGGATTAAATAACGAGAGCAAGTCCTGACCTAAGAGGGCACGTCTCGAAATGGTTGACAACAGCAGCACTGCACTGTCCTCTGTCCACTGTTGTTCGAGTGGGCCCAGTAACGTCTCCATTGTGAAACTTGTTACTGTGTTTGGCATATCGAATACATCAAGGGGAGCTTGCCAGGCTCTGCCGTTCGGGCGAAATACTCTCAGTAGCTTGCCGGGCTCTCGGAGAGGGGCGGAGGAATCAAACCCGGGTCGGCCGGGCCAGCCGCATGCAAGGCAAACTCCCTACCGCACAGTCATACTCGAAAGAAAACCCCACACAAACAGGCAGTGGGTTGAGACACCGGACAAAGCACGGCAGCAGCCCCTGCAGGCAGGGGGACACGTGAAGGAGAGCTGTCTGCAGGGCTCAGGGAGAACACAGGGGCTCGTGTAAGCACTGCACCAGGCCCAGCTGTGCTGGGGAACCTCAGTCTCCTCATCGAATTGATTCAGAGGCAGCTCCATACCCAGCGGAACTCAGGGGCTACTCCCTGCTCAGTGCTCAGAGACCAGACTGGAGCCTGGACTCCTGCACACAAAGCCTGTGCGCTGGCCTGTCGAGCTGTCTCTGCACATCCAACCACCCCTATTTATTTTATTTATTTGGCTTTGGGGAGGGGGGTCCATACACCTGGCAATGTTCAGGAGTTACTCCTGGCTCTGCACTCAGGAATTACTCCTGGCAGTGCTCGGGGGACCACATGGGATCCTGGGTTTGAACCCGGGTCAGTCACATGCAAGGCAAAAGTGCCCTCCCTGCTGTTCAATTGCTCTGGCCTCCGCCACTACTACTTTAGAGGTAAGAAAACTGCCTCCCTAGTTGACCCGAGGTCACCCTGTCAGTGGCATTTCCAGCCCAGGCTGAACCTTCAGAGTCAACTCACTCAGCCTATAGTGCTTAGGCAAAAGGAGATGAGGATGGTCAGACCCAAAAGCCTAGAACATTCCAACAGTGGTTACTCACCCACCCCTTATTACAGTTTTTTTCTTCTTTTTGGGTCACACCTGGCAACGCACAGGAATTACTCCTGGCCGTGCTCAGGGGACCATATGGGATGCTGGGAATCGAACCCAGGTCAGCCACATGCAAGACAAACGCCCTAACCACTGTGCTATCACTCCAGCCCCCTTATTACAGGTTTTGCTGGGCCACAGGGCGTGAGTGCCACTAGGCCCTGGCCCATGCGAGCCAACATATGCTGGCACAGAAGGCCTGGGAAGGAGGAAACAGGAGTTGCAGAGAAAAGCTCCCCACAGCACCAGCTCTGTCATAGGAGGGAAGGGGCCGGGCAGACAACTTCCCCCAGGACCCAGGGACCCCTCCCTAAGAATCAGCGCTGAGCTCAGCAGCAAGGGACACCCTAATATAGCCCTAACTGTAGATGTGCTTACCAAGAACCCCTGAAGCCCTCCATGACCTTTGCCACAACTTAAACAGTATCAGCAGGTTTGAAAAGGCTCCGGAGCAAAAGAGGCCTTAGATGCAGAGAGAGGGTGGACATCCGGGTGGACGTGCTTTGACTCGACAGGAAGAACACGGACGGGATCAAGCGGGTGGTTTGTGTGGTCGTGTCATGTCTGTGAACTGCAGGCACCGATGCAGGAGTCTAGAGGTGCCTTGGCCCCTCTGAGAACAAAGTTCCACAGTGGCTATTCCCAAAGGTGGCCCTGGGAACTGACTGTGTACTTGGGTTAATCCGTAAATTCCAGCGTATCTTCTATACGCATGTTACAGAAACCTCAAAGTAAACAGAAGATTCCTAGGATCTTCTAAACAGTCTGTGCAGATTCAAAGCCAGCTGAGAGGAGCCGTGATATCTTCATTTCCTATTGCTGCTCCACTAACCAACCAACCACTTTGAACCTAGTAGTCTAAAGCAGCAAACAGTTCTCAGCACTTAGCCCTGGGAGGGAACCCGGAGACACTGGTGCCAGGAAATGTGCACCGGAGGAGGGCTGGGTGCTGGAACACGGTATGACTGAAACCTGACAATGATCCGATTTGTAACCCTGTATCTCACAGTGACTGAATTAAAAAAAAAAATAAAAATGACCATGATTTTCATACTGCTGTTTCCAAGACTTGTAATAAGCCTGATGATGAACTAACAGTGGTCTGTACCACTGAGGGGGGCTGGAGGGGCTCACCTGTGTCTGGGCTCCCCCTCGCGAGGTGTGCGCCCATGGACAAAGAAGGGGAGGAAAGGCCAGAACCTTCTTAGAGGAAACAGGCTGAGCGGCCCCGGGCCTGGATCTGCTTGTGTTCATAATGCAACACTCAGGACCTGTGTTCCCTGCATGCTGGCAGAGGCAGGCTGTGTCTGCCATGGTCTCCCTTCCTCCTCCCGCTCTCAGCCCCTGAGTCCTGCCTCGCCAGACAGCTGCAGCCACTCGCAGAGGTGCCACAGAGGTGACCTGAATGGGTCTCAGTTGCCGCCCTGGCCGGGTGAGTGAGCACAGCTGTGCCCACCATCTGCCACCCTGGGGACCAACCCTCAGCCTGTCCACATGGCTCTGCACACAGGTGAGTCTCCAACTCAGCCAGGA